CTCTCGCGGCAGGGCCCTGCTGGGTTTATGGTCCGTAGGTCGGTGCCCGGCAGGAGAAACAACGGAGTTTCCGCAGTCCCCGGGGCGTCCGTCCGTCTGCCCGTCTGCCCATCCCAGAATTCCCCAGCTGGTTGGCTTTTGCTGAGAATTCTGGGACTTGAAACTGGAGTTCGGGGAATTGCCACGGCTGGGCAATGTTGCCTGGCTGGCTGGTTGGCTGGCTGTGCCCCCATTCCCCCCCCAGAAAAAATAACGCAGGAAAGGCTGAAATGAGGAAAAGGAAAGCCACGTTGGGCGTCCTCCTTGTTCTCCCTGGAAGTGACTGGCTCTCCTTTGCTGTGTTCGCTTCTCTCCGTTTTCGCCTCTTCTGCCAGTCTGGAGGATGCCCAGAGCCTGCCGGGGCGGATGGCAAGAGCTGCGCTGGCCCCGGGAGCCAGATGAGGCCTCTCCTCCTCCTCCTCCTCCTCCAATGACCCACCCTTTAAATGCCACCGAGAAACCATTGAAGCGGAGGAACAGGGCCGTTGCAAGAAGCCAAGAGGTCGAAACTGCGCCTGTCCTCCTTTGGGGCCCATTCCCTTGTACAAAAGCTCTTCCCAGGGTCTTCAACCAAGGGCAGCCCCTCTTCTCCCCACACGCCGAACCCTTCCTTCAGGAAACCTAACTGGGATTTGCACGTGTGGATTCGTCCTGCCCCACGTCTCCAGCCTGGCCCTCTCCAGATGTCTTGAATTTCCATTCTTCTCATCTGGCGCCAGCACGGCAGATTCCTTTTGGTGGAAAATGAAGAGGAGACCGCAAGGAGCACATGGCCCTTTCAGTGTGCATCCTTGAACGTTCATGTGCTTTCCAGCTGCCTTTTGATATGCCTCATAAACCTGGTTTTGACCAGCTGGGGGAAAGGACATTTTAAAAACAACATAATAAAGGATTTTAGTTCCGTTCTTCAGCAAATCTCACGTACAAAAGGAACAGAATAGCAACCTATTAATGTCTGAATAAAGTGAAGTATCCTTTTTCACGTTAGCATGGAAAGCTTTCTCAGTTCTGTCTATTAATCCTTTGAGTTTTAATTTACCAGCTGGGAAGCTCTGCATCAGCTTCCCCTGTTTATCTGAAATAAATAGTCCACTTTCTCTGAGCTCGTATGAAGTGCGCAGCGGTGGCAGAGCCAAAATATATTTCTGAAACACCAATGGCCATGAGAAGAAAGGCTATTTTTCAGTGATTCTCCAGCAGGTTGCCAATTTGGGATCAGAGCTGATACCCCAGCCCAAATCTCGGATCAAAACATTGTGATACTCACCAAATATTTCCTTTAACCATTGCGATGTTCAAGTTGAGTTTCCTTATTGAGATTAGATTCTAATTTATGTAGCAGAAATCACGCCTTTGTCACCAAAACCCTTTCAGTGGATCTCTCTAAATTACCAGCCTCTATTCTGACTGCTGTCAGATTATTAGTTCAATTAAAAAAATAAATCTGGAGCCACTTGAAGAGAAACTAAGTTTTCTCTTGCAGAACTGAACTGTCCAATTGTATATTGAACACAGATGTTGATGCAAATGTAATTCCAATATGCTTTTAACCCATCTTGAGTGGGTTGGAGATTTAAAAAAGCATTCCTTTGTCCCTCGGGGAGAATCCAGATCTTGCCTAATGTATAATAATTGAGATAATTGGCCGATGAGCCTTATAATTAGGATGGGAAGATGGGCTAACCTTTCACGGACAAATCTCATTTAGGGAGCTGAGACGGAAAAGCCGTTTGGCATATGGATCTGCATCTTTATGGGAGATTATGACGGCCAACCACCAGCTGAAGGTGGTTTTTCTTTGGTTAATACTGATCTTTTGGAAGATGTTGAAGAAAGGTGAGTTTGCAAACACTTCTGCCTACCTTTATTAATTATTTGGATCATGTTATTAAAGCAGCAGGCTGAAAAGGAGACTTTAAGAAGCTCTTCAGCTGCAGGGCCAGCTATTGAATCAATGAAGACTTAACTTGATTAATGTTTTGATTAAAACACGGGTTTTGGATGTAAGAACAAGAAATATCCCAGCACGGACTCAGGCTTGGAGCCACTGTAACATCTGCCCAGGCTTGCCCGTTCTCCCTTAATTTTGCAGTATTTCTGAACCTCAGCAACTTTAAGATGTGTGGACTTCAACTCCCAGAATTCCCCCAGCCAGCATGCTGGGGAAGGTAGTACTAATACTGCTAAAAGACTCTAAGCAATCTTTGTCCAAGGGGCATTACTGCTAAATCAGGTTTGGAGATGTCACTGAGTTGTCCATTCTGGTCGGATAAGAGCAGAGACATCCAATGAGAGTCAAAAAAGTCAAGATGTCCGTCATGGCATGATAAAAGTTCTGCCTCTTTGATACGCATCACACTGAAAGGGGTGGGGCTTTGATCACAGAGCCAGCGCCACTCTTTTGACTTTTTGACACCCCCCCGGAAGGATGCACCTGGATAAGAGATGGATAATTACACTTGAGATGATGCGCTCAACAAGCCACCACTCGCTCATGACCATGTTAGCAAATCATTGTTGCCTCTGCATCAAAAGTACCCAGGAACAAACACAATTCTTGTGGTTGGAGACATCCACTGGGTCAAAATGGTAGCCCCGACGGCGCATACAATGCACCTAAAAATCGGGCAGGTCTTCAATTGCACCACGGTGCCTGCCATCTTGAATTTTTTGACCATACTCTGCGGACACCCGTTTGTGTTAGTTTTGTCACTGATAACACATGCAGATATTCCAAGATGGTGGAAACAGGAGATGACGAAAAAGTGGCTTTCTCTAGTATTTTCCCCGAGGCCATTTCTGGCTGCTGCTCCGGGTGCAAAACGTAATGACGGGGTGACATTTTAACGAGTGCCTCACGGACAATGGGCACAACAGAAGTGCTGAAACGCTTGTTCTCTCGCATCCGTCGGATTACATGTCACGTCGGGAGACCCGCTGTCAATTTAATTTGGCAGCTAAATTTATGACCGCCTTCCGCCTTCCAGATGGATAATTTATTTCTGTCACGGGCCATTTATTACCTTCTCCTCCGGCTCCATCTTTGGATTTATTCCTGCCACCTCCCCCCTTGGCCAGCACCTTCATAATTCGCACCCCTCCCCGTGATCTTTCGTGACTCCACAGTTGGTCAATAAACTCTGGGGGATACTTGGAGGGCCATTATGGACGGATGATTGAGCGACCCCTCGCTCCAGCTGTGCCACCACAGTGCCCTTTTGTCTTGCGAGACCTTGCCGAAAAGATGGATGAGATCCATCTGCAGG